ACCGTGAATCCGTAAAAAGCAACGTACTAAGTAATTATGAATAACGTAATGTCGTTTACCAATTAAATACTGTTAACGAAAACTACGTGTACGTCGGCGATCTCGCCTTAGGCGGTCGGCCGAGATTTTTTGCAAACCAAATTTTTTCCATGAATCTCTCTGTGTGTGTGTCAGTAACTTAATTATCTTACCATACGTACACACGATGTTAAATTAAGCGGTAAGAAATAAGAGAAATTTGCATTTTTCGAAGCGAAATGCGCGAACGAAGGATTTTAACACGAGGACGAGTAAAGCCGCGTGTACGACGGAAGGGAAAGCGATTTCGATGGTGTTAATTCAATTAAAACAAAGAAAAAAAAAAATGTTAGAAAAGAAATATGTTTTAAGAAGCAAGAAATGATCATTCTAATTAATTAAAATTAATATTCGTAACGTTCGTACCGTCTTTGAATCTAAGCGACGTAATAACGCGACACGTTGTCGAGAGAAATTAAATAATGAATTAAATAACGAACGACACGATACTTTGTATTTATACACATTGTACACAGATATGTATATTGTTACTAATATTATTCTTATTATTATTAACAGATTACCATTATTCTTATTATCGCCATTTATCATTCTCGTTCTTATTACCATCGATCATTCTTATATACACACACATATATATACATATAGTATACATAATATTTAAATAATCCAGCGTCGCCCTAAGGATCCAACGATCGAACTTTGGAATTATTATTTCTTAACCGTCGAGCGGCCATCACCCCTTTGATTTTGAGACAGAGCGAGATCGTTCGTTTACGTCCAAATTTTCAAAAAATATTCCAAGCATCAGAGTCTTGGATTCACGCGATCACGATCAGACGCGTTTAATTCATCTTCCGGTAACGCAAATTTCCGAGAATCCCTTCTCCTTGGTACAACCAAGAGAGAAACTGCTACATTTCACTCCGAATCACCGGCTAAAAAGTTGAATTAATTATCTCTGGCAACCCAGACTTATCGACCCTCGGTTGCCTCCAACTTCGAAAACTTTACATTCGGATAATCTTTCCATTAATAATACATTTACGGAGAGAATTTATGCAAACTAAATAGTCAATTGAATTTTCACCGCATTAAATGTATAACTATTTGCGATTTCAACTATATATATATATATATATATATATATATAGTAATAATTAATTTGACCTGAACCTCCATTTTCCTCTTCTTAAAGCTCCATCCTGTCTATTTACGATTATAACGTTAAACGAAATGTTTGGACAATTTGAAATACGTTTAATTCAATTCCCACAGATCGTATCGTATCTTTAAATTGGCATAGGTTTCGTGAATTAATTTAATTTTGTTAATCGATTCGATAAATTATTTAATTTATATATTTTCAACTTTTGATTTCGATATATCTTTCTAATGATAATATTATCCAATGGTAAATAAACGGAATAATCCAATTGGATTCTGAAGATATTTTGACGAGAAGAGTTAACAAAATCTAATTTTTGAGAAATAATCCGAACGATCTCGCGCTAGGGGCCGCGAAACGATCTCTATCGATAATATATTGGAGCAATGAAATCACTGTGATATCACTAAAACGCTTTCAAGGTGTGTGTTGGGATCGACGATTACTACCACACTCGCCAGGCTGGGCGTGGTTACGTTTCTAATTAATTAATTGCAGAAATGGATTAGATATTTGCGAGGAAGGAAGGACAGAGAGAGAGGGAGAGAGAGAGAAAGAGAAGAAAATAAGATTTATGGTATTCGATTATCGTAAATTATTGTAAATCATATTATATTGTATATACGTATATATACTTATTATATATACATATACACATAGAGTGTATCGATATTACGGATTACTATTAATATCACTAAAGACTACTGTCATCGTATTATTACCGTCGTTGTTAGCCGACATTACTATCGATGCAACAAGTTCTACTGTCTAATAGCGTTGTTCGTCTGTCGCGAAAGAAAGAGAGTGCAGAATACGCAAGATCAAAACCGGGAACTAAAATACAATTAACGATACGATATTTCTGTCAACGATGTTTCAGTGTACGGAAAAAATCCCGTTTCCGGTTCGCGATGATCATTCTAGAGATAAAAAAACTCGCATTCTCTGCCGGAAACGCGACCAAGGACAATCGATTCCGGTTCGTTCCGATTTTTCTTCGAATATAGTAGAGTATTTTTAATGTACGAGCCAATGCTGTTCAGCAATTGTCCGGCGGTCAGCCTCGGCCAACATCGGCGAGTCTCGGCCAATTTCGGACAGTTTCGGCAATGCTACAGGCCCGCGTTAGGCCTAAAGTCTTAAGCTTCTACTACTACGCGAATCGTCTGCCTTTAATCCTTTGTCCTCGATTCTTCTCGTAGGCAAAAAAACTATAGTCTGAACAGCAGTGGCGTAATAATATAAGCGAATAACGATTTTTCTCCGAAATTGCCATCGATCGCCGATAAAGGAAAAGAAACGCGAAACGAAGGAGGCGTTGTGTAATCCGTTGAAAATAAAAATGAAAAGAAAAAAAAAAAAAAAAAAAAAAAAAAAAAAAAAAAAAAGAAGCTGAGAGAATTCTATCCAGTGACAATAGCGAGGACGACGATTAAACGAACTGTCAACGGTCGAGATTATCCGAAGGGCGATCATTGCGAGGTGAAAAACCACGATGTTGTTCAGTTGGTTCGCAGCTGGAATGGAATTTAACGAGCGTATTCGTCCGTGTAGCGCAGTTTCATTCGGACGCGCCTCGAGGCAATCGGAAAAAACAATTTTTACCTTTCGCACGGTCGCCCTTCGCAGGGATCAGGCTCGATCGCGTGGCAACGAGCGCTCTTATTCTGTTCTATGAACAGACACCATTCGTTCGCCGGCCTCGATCCGGGAATAATCGATCACCTTGTGCGCTGAATCTGGTAATTCAAATTGTTCAACGAAACTTCGAACGGGATACAAATTATTCTCCACTGATATAAATAATTCATTGTCATGTTTGATCACCGATATCCGTTTTAATCCGACTCGTACACAACGAGAAGTGTGCAATTTAATACATTCTCGGATCGAGGATTTCACGCGTTGCGTGTTGCAGAACGATTGGAATTTGCGACATCTGAGACAACACCTTTTCGATTTTATACTCCCGAGGATAATCTAAGCGCTGTCCAACGAGGATCGCTACTATCGTTAACCCTTATGCCTGTACCCGAAATCATCGACATCACTCGATCCCCGTTATTCTACAGAAAAATGTAATTTTGAAATCGATGAAAGCAGATGAAAGAAAATAGGCGAGGGTAGAAAATTTATATACCTACTGCGATTCAAATGCATTCCAGAGAGCCATAATACCGCAGTTACCGTTCCGATACAGTAAAAATCCGATTCTCTATTGCTACAGTCACGAAAAGGTCAAGTTATTTCGAGGTCTGCGGTGTCAAGTATTATATCTCGAAAAGCATATTTACCCTTTCTCTCTCTCTTTCTCTCTCTTTCTCTCTACTACAAACTTCAATTTGGATACGCTGCTACATAAGAATTATCCATCTAAAGATCTTCTATCCCGTGCAGATAAAATGGTATCGACATAAGGGTTAAACCAGCGACAACCACCGATCATTTCGAAACAATGCTTGAACAATCATGCAAGAACGATTCGATACGAAACGATCACGCCGCCATACGAACGTCACCCCTTTCGACCTTTACTCGAGAACGCGAGGTCGTGTCGATCGATGTGTAAATCGGGGTGAACACCTCCGTTCCAGATCTATTCTAAGCGCTAACTAAAGTAATTCTCTTGGAACGGGGTAACGAAACAGTACCAACCATCTCCCCCTCATTCGAGAAATGCACACAATTCTAACGTAAATCAAAATTTCCAATTACCGCCAAGTCACGCTAAGACTCATCGATCACTATATATATCGCCTATGCATAGGCGACTAATTTCCGTTTTTATTTTTTAAACTATACTGTTCATCTACCGCGAGAGAGGTAGACGATTTATCCTTACTAGTAGTTGGATTGGAACAAGCTTTCGATACTCGTTGTTTAGTGATTAATTGTAAAAAAAGGTTTTTCGAGAGAGAGAGAGAGAGAGAGAGAAAGAAGAACACGTTCTCTGACACTGCGAGAAAACAGGCTGAGCGGAAACTAACCTAATACGATTCAACAACGCGAATCGATTTTTCTACCTTCTCTTTATCCCATCTCGTTTTCTCTTCAAAACGCGTGGAATCATTATTCTCGAAACGCGATTGTTACGTACGCAGCAATAAAAAAATCAGCCTACTTCGTAAAATGTCATGCACACACGCACACAGGTCAGATCAACCTGAGAACAACTTTCTTTCGAATTTTCGTCACGTGTTGGTAAGAATCCGTGACGACGAACGAGAAATTTATGTTTTTGTAATCGATGGAGTGATCCAAAGCAATTCGAATTGTTTTCTCCATAATTTTTGTACGATACGAAGTAGTTGATTAACGTTAGGATTATTAAATGGATCGAAATTTTTGGTCTGGTGTGTATTTATGAGAAACTTAAATATATAAGTGAAAAAAGAAGGATACACGAAGTATCTTAAATAAAATATACGATTACTTTGAAGAATGAATCTAATTTTTATTCATAGATTCTATTTCTACAACTCTGACGATTCTGATCGCGTAGATCTAATGACAATTGATAAAGTATCTTAAAGTACTTAATTACAAAAGAATTGTTATTTGAAAAACTTGGATATAGAACAAATAGAACAAAACAAACAACCCCTATTCTAATAAAAACTAATCGAGCTTTCAAAATTTCCAAAAATTCCAACTCTTCAACATTCACGGATTCTTACATCGTCATGCACTACGAGACACCGTGTGGACCGGAAAGAACACCAAAAACCGCGTAAACGCAATGTTAAACGCTTCGTTTCGAGGCAAAAATAAGAACGAAAAAATAAAAAAAAAAAAAAAACGATTCAACGGAAGAAGCAATCTCGATGGGCGCAGAAATTCGTTTCACGTCAAGTTTAATCTATAAAAGTCTTCCATTCCTTCCTCAACGTGTATTCGTCTACGTGTATTCGGCTGATTGGTTACCGAGCGATGAAAAATCGGCGAAAACTGGGGGAGGCCGAGCGCATTCGACCGGTTTCCCGACAAACTCTCGAGGTCCGACCGGAAAATCGATCCGATTCTCTCCACCCTACCCCTCCAAATATTTACCATCCTTAATTTTAGGAAAATCACAATTTGGCGGCGCGCCGAATTTCGGCCAGATTTAACGCAACGTAACAACTTCGCGCGAAACACAACCCGTTAATTGCATTTTCCATGTTCAAATATTTTCGTCCGGTTACAATCCGTTGCATGCGAGAGCGTATGCAAACGGAGTAAGGGAAAATACACGCAAAATGCTTCAGATGAAGTAAAAGTTTCGACGCGATACTTTTATTAAGTAATTAAAAGATGCGTAAATTGTTTCCTTTCCGAGAAAATAGAATGAAATAGAATTAATACTTTTTTTCCGTGTTTGCAAGTAAATTGATAGAGGTTAGACATTCGTTTGTAACGATATTGTTTCTTTATCGAAAAATATATTTCCAGATACGCGCGTTTATTCTTAATCTTTATCTTAAAATTAGGATAAGGCGATATAAAGAAATTGGATCGTATCCAGTTCTGAAGCGTTCTGCTTCGAAAAAAGAAGGGAGGGGGAGGAGAAGAGAGCGGAGTGGACGATCGAAAATTCGCTGAACTACGATGGAAAAAAAAGAAAATAAAGGAAATCTCGTCGGAGGGAAAACTAATTCCGGCTGCCGAGTGTAATCGAATCGGTGTAAGTCGGTTACGGTGATTCGGACCAGTTTTCGATTCCGATTCCCACCGTGGAGAGACAATAACGGTCCAAGGAATATAATGGATTTTATACGAGGCGATCCTCCTCTGGTCCGCGTAGCTCTTTCAATTTGTTTGCGGCTATTCGCGGAGAAAAGACAGACCGGAGAATGGGCCGCGTCTAATTTCACTTCGTTAGGAAATTCGTTCTTGTTTAATGAAGTTATAGTAATTCACAGACAGACGAAGAATCGTGGTGTTCGTCCTCTATCTGTTTGCGTTACCGTATTTACAATTTGTGATACAAAATATAACTTTGCATTGGTATTTCTTTCTTCGCATATTTAAAAAAAATCTACCAAGAGACATAAAAATATATGTTATATGAAACGTCGTGAAATTTAACCACAAGATCTTTTGTAAGAGAAACATTCAATGGAGGTTAACATAAAATGGATTCTAAACGGACAAAAGCTATTTATGAAATGAATTAACCGTTTTTCAATAATCTAAATATATTTCACGGGCGTAGACCGTTTTTTATTTAACAAAAGGCGAATATTCGTGAAACGTCGCGAATTTGAAAAAGAAAGAGAGGGAGAAAGAGGGGAAAAAATAAATATCTTAGACTTTTAATTAAAGTAAAACGGAATAAATAAAGAATCGTAGAAAAAGATCGTATTATCTCCGGACTCGACAATACCGTAATTTATCATGCGAAAAAATAAGCCAGATGCTGCAGTAATCGGCACGAATATTCCAGTCGACCTCGACTGGGAGGTAAATCGATTTCAGCGAAACTCTCGACCGTCCACGAATAATAGATCCATTCCCTCCCTCCCCNGCAGGAACAAAGAGGGGGAGAATAGATGGATTTTTTTCAAGAACGAAAGCTACTTGTTGCGCGGCGCAGAACCAATGAAATTTCTGGTGAAAATTTAACGAATGTATTCGCGAGAACGTATACACGTCGACGAATTACTCCAATACCCATAGAGTTTCCAGATTTTTCGCAATTTTCGGGAAAAATTGGGGGGGGGGGGCCGATAGAAACGGGGAGAGAGAGAAAAAAAAAGAAAAAGAAATCGATAACGCCGCTCGAGTTCGAGGAATCGACTCGACTCGAGATTATCTCGTGGCGAACCGGCGATTCCGTCACGATCCCGGAAACCGCTCGACCGATCTTATTTCCTGGATAAGTCCTGCTCTGAAGCGGACAACGGACGAGAAAAGGGAAGGAAATCGAGGGAATCTCGCGTCTCGAGCTCCCCGATTTTTCACCTCTCCGTCCTCTCCGTCCTGCCTGCGGGAGAATCGCTTATCGCGGATAAATCAGAGCCACCCGTGATTTCTCCCCTCTGTGTGTGGTCGCGAAACGTGTTTCGTGAAGTGGAAAGAAGGGGAGGGAGGACGAAGATCTCTTTGGAAAGGAAAAGGAAGAAGAAGATGAAGAGGAAGAAGGAGGAAGAGTTAGGTCGAAATGGAACCGTCGTAAACCGAGTGTCTGAGATTACGATCATTAGGAGAAAACCGAAGCAACTTTATGTACAGTTGTGATAATTTTATGGTTGACCATGTGATAATAAATATTGCGTTTGTAAATAAATACGGGATATATCGCCTTAGTTCGTTCGAATATATATTGTACAGAGTTGTTTAAGTACGGATTTTATCTTATATAGACGAGAAAAAAAAGGATTTCGAGGATATTGTTGAGATTGATTTGAATTGTATATCGAAATGTTACAGCGATTCTATAGTATATACATACATATATATACATACATATATATATATATACATATAAAACGATTGTTGTAATTATTTCTTCGAGATTCTCCGCGAGCGAGGGAGAGATTTTGAAGGGGGAGGGGAGTGAGGAGAGTGAGAGGTCTGATTAAGAGGCGATTAAGAGAGACAATGGACCCGGTTCTCCAAACTGGGCCAGAGAAAACAGGTACTTCGGTACGGCACGATCTACTCTCTAACGTTTCTTTTTTTTTTTTTTTTAAGAAATGAAAGAAGGCTTAAGTGTAGCGAGGAGGGAGAAACAGAGAAGACGAGAAGGGTGATAATTAAACGGGACGCTTTTGGAGAAGAAAAAAAAAAGAAAAAGAACGAATGAAATAAAAGGGATGGAAATAAAAGGATGGAAATGAAAGAGAAAATTTGGAAATATCGAAGCGATTTTACTCTGGTCTATTACGTTGTGCTACTACGAATTGCCTGTTTTTACAGCAACCCCGAAAACTCTATCGATTGAGCCCGATCGATCGATCGATCGATCGTCGCCGATTCGAATCAATCGATCGTTCGTGAAACCGTTTAAGAAGGAATATACCACGATGTATACTGACATTAAACGAAAAGGAACTATCAGTATATTGCGACTTTGTTTTATAAAAGAAAGACGAGAAAAAAAATCGAATCGAAACCGTGTTTATCTTTTCTGACTTATCCTCGTTACCCATCATTCTTCCACGATTCTCGTAATTATAATTTAAGTTACATCTCTTTTTCTTTCTTTTCTTTTGTCTTCGATTATTCTTCGATCAATTAATTAATCAATTCAAAGAATGAAGCCAATTCTTCATCGGATGTTAAAACTTAACACGAAAGGTAAGTGGTTTTTTTTATATTTTTCCTCGACACTTTTGCACAGGAATATTACTCGACAATGAATAATCGATCCTTCAAAGTTTCTTAGCGGCCCTGTGTGCTAATGCGATATTTAACAACCGTGGATTTATAAAAGCTTATACAAAGCTACTTACACAGCTAAATAACTTATAATAGAGTTCGGGACTAACTTCGCAAGTCTGATGTAATTTCAGTACAACGAAATCTGGTTTCAACTTCTTGGAAATATCGGGCCCAAGTTTCGAACAATAGTCATCCTCTAAACTTGTTAATAGGAGTTTTAGATAATCATTTGGATCGTCATTCATCGTCGATATCGAGTAAAATTAAAGATTTTCACCGATCGCGATTCAAGAAAATTTGTTAACAATTCGGTGAAACTTTATTTCTTTTCAGATCATTCGTAGCCCTCGAAATTTCAAGAACTTGTTAACCTTTTTTTCGAGGAAACGACAATATTGTTTCTAAACTATAATTGTCGACAAATCGTGGAAAAAAAAATTTCTAGACAATGATAACGAAATGTGTAATTCATCGATAGACCAATTTCTAAAAATCGAACGATTATAATTTAGAAAAAGTAGAAAAAGTAACCCAATAAATACATGAACGCACTATGCATCGTATATAAGAATCAGAATTGGAAAGGCAATACTCTCAGGCATACTCTCGATATTCGATAATATCCACCCTGAAATAGAATTCAATTCCACACTTCGATTTCTCTGGACCTATTTTGACGGCCCAGCCCGATTTCCACGAGCATCGTAAACGAACATCAATCCGATTGGCCTTCGAATGAATTTCGACTAGCTATCTATCGCGGTATCGATATACACAAAAATTCATGCGTTTCTTAAGCCGATTGGAAAGAAGAAACGACGAGAAAGTAAAAACAATTTCCAATCGATCCATAATGGATATCTTTGCAATAGAAATCTTCTTATAACATGTATCGTCATAACCAAGAGCAAAAACTTTTGAAACTAACTGTGAAACAAATAATAACTTCCTCTTTCCAATATAACCGAGAATAACATTTTATTTATCGAATAACTTAGAGTAAAGAGGCAGGTAAAACTAATATAATATAATCCAATCACCGTCAAAAACCTTTAAAGTTCCTTTAAATATCCCGTGTTTCGATCGAATTTTCTTCACGATTATCTGGTTAAGAAGAAAATTTCGCTTCTTATTTTCCAAATTTTCCTTCCAAATGCCCCTTCATCGTCCAACACTATATATTTCGCGATATACCCCTTCGATTTAATCCCCCGAGAGAACTAGACGTGCATTTATTCGAGATAAGACGCAGACAAACTGTTTCTTGCTCAGATAACCCTCGGATTCGAATCTAATTTATAGGGCGCGCGACAAATTCGACCGCCCCATTGTTCCCCGAAGAGCGGAGGGTTAATACCATCCCGGCAATAACAATTTGGACCGCGAGAACCGTGGTTATGAAACCCGTCTCGGATTCGCTTCGCTTTGATACTCGGCCATTGTGTAATGCGACGTAACAGGGAGCGTCTCGACTTAGGGATGGAACGAGAAGGTGGAAGGGGAAAGGAGCTCGAAAGGGATATCTCACCTTGCGGTTAGTTCGCAATCAGTCGATATCGATCCGCGATTGTTAAAGATTGTTTCATTATCGAGTGAACGAATTTTTTGACAATATTTTGATCGAGGAATAAATTATTATCGGGTGAATAAAGAATTGGCTTGTTTAGGGAAGGGGGAGAGTGTATATGGAAAAATTAATTTTCTATCAATAATTATTATTATTATCCGCTTTTGATGATGAAATTTAATTAAGATCTATTCGGATAATGTTAATAATATAGTACATATCTATTGTTTTTGATAATAAATAGATGATATCTAATCTTTTTGTTAATATTATCGATCATTTAAAAACTTAATCGAGTAAATTTTGCATTTTTCAAATTAGAGCATGATATAACAAAAGACGAGAGAAATTTTGTGAATTTTCTCGAAATGAGGGGAAAATTTATGATCAAAGGTTTTTTCAAACGAGATCCGATGATTAATTGTCACCGCGGTGTCCATTTGAGAGAAGGAAAGGAAACTTTTTTTCTTTTTTTCTCCGCTATGAGAACAACGTCGGAATACTAAACGAAGAACGTGGATACGGAATGTCGGATGAACGTAAAATTCCTACGTGCAAATGAGATTCGTGGGCAAATGCGCTATTGGAAAAGATTCTAACGACAGGATCGAAAGAATTCACGTTCGACGATCGACAGGCAAGTCAAGGTAGGAACAAGGGAAGGTTGACGACAAAAGAGATATAGTGGGTGGAAATGTTGAGAAGAGAGACATAATAGGTGGGATAGAAATGAATCTTTTCAAAGACAGAAAGACGGGTAAAGGATATGTCAAGATGTGTCGACGTGGCGCGAGTTATATTCAAGGACGAAGTGAAGAAAAACCTCGAAATTAATCCTTTCGGTTTCATTTTCGATCTCGTAAATACCGTGGACGAAATATTTTGTTAGAATTTTTATTGGAAAACTTACGATAAAAAAAGTTTATTTATAAATATAGCGAAGAGATGGTGAATAAAAGATACACTATATATTAATTTATTTCGTATGAAAATATAACAATGTACATAATAAAACGTTGCAATTTCGACAAAAATATTTAGTTCTTTCGCTTGCCTCTTGTTTTTATAAACTACATAGCTATTTTTTTTTTTTTTTTACTGGTATTTTAACCCAACTACGAAACTAAGCTAAATATTTTTTCCGAAATTGCAATGTTGTATCTCATTATCTTTTATACATTTTCAAACATACCATATAAAATTAATTTATAAAGATATATAGCGTATCTTTTATTAACCAACTGTTTAATTGATCAACAAAATATCTTAACAAATAGATCTTTTTTTCACAAACGAATTTGAAAATAATGTATAATAAAATATACACGAGAAACCCATATTAAAAATACAAAAAAATTTTCAACGCTGAATTTTTTCGTACAAAATATCATCATGGACATCGCAGGAATAAGAGATATCTCGTTCCTAGTAGGAGAAGGGTTGATTAACTTTGACGAAGATCCGACACGAGCGTCGAAACGTAAAAATGAAATTTGCCAAGCCAACCGAAATCCATAGAACCGCTTAGTCATTATACTTCGAATTAAATCGAACCGGAAAAATGAATCGTGGAAATCTGAAAATCCATCCTGGAATTAATCGAATCACGCCCGTTATAAACGATTCGATCTTCCTCTTGGAAGATTTCCTTTCAAGAAGAATAATAATAATCGTGCGAAGGGAAAACAGCCGCGAGAGAATAATAAAGAGGCGATAAAAGAAGAAATGAAGAACTGACATATCGAGGTAAATTCAGTGACGTACAATGTTTGCAAAGTAAATTTAACTGAATGAAAAGCGAGAAGAAGAGAAAGTTTCGAGTTTCGAACTAATTCTTCGTTTCTTGCTTACACGTCTTTCGTTTATCTTTTTAATTCGAGAAAATACAATAGAGTATATCTGTATCCGTATTAGAAAGCGAAATTCATGGATGGCTAATCATCCTGATCGAATTCTGAACACCTTTTAAATTAGAAATGAAAGAAACCAGGTTATATGTACATTGTCGTCAGGAAATCTTTGGAAAAAAGGAGAATTTTGCATAATTTTATTATGCAACGAAGAAAAAGATCGTTACGAATGCATGATGCGGACAAAATATGAAATCTACAATAAGGAAATAGAATACGTGATTTTCGAGAAGGAAGAAAAATATAAATTGTTTCGATATCTGATGTATTCGAACACGCTAAAAAATCATTTGGATAAAAGGTTCGTCTTGAATTCAAACAAATTGTTAGAGATCGTGGACAATGAAGGGAAAAAATAACAGGAAAGGAGATATAATGCGTGAAAAGAACGAATCGAACGAGACATTGCAACTGGCGAACTTTGAGATACAATAAAGGATATTATCGACGACATGGAAAAGAATAAAGATAATATCCGAAGGCTTTCAGAATCGAACAATAGTCGATACCGAATAGTAGATAACACGGCGAATGAAACGGGGAATGAATATACCTAGTCGGTATATTCAAGAGGATTTCCTTCCCTGGATTACGTTGAAAATAAAATTCTCCGATCCATAGATTTATCCATCTGGAAAGGAATCGTTCGAGATTAACCATTGGACAACAAGGTGATCAAGCCATGGATGGTTCACACGCCATTGGGCGAAAGAAAGGAATTATTCATGATGGTTTGATGGGCCATTCCTGACGCATGGTCTCGTTAAAATGACGTATTTCGTTATCGGCGCGACACAGTGCGTGGAGGTGTGAAAATGTACCGAGTGGAAAACGGATATTTATACCGGTCGAAATAAATCAACGAGGGTTGATCCGAAGTTTGATTACTCTACCCGTCCACGCATCCCTATAACGTTCCCATTGATCGGATTGTACAGCTAACGTGATAATTTTTCATTCAAGTGTTCGATGGTAAATATAATTCGTAGTGAAATATCGTTGGCAGAAGATATTTCATTATTTTTCATATCTTTAATAAACGTTTAATAACGTAAAACGTAAGAGATTCCATTCTCTTGAATGAAGATAAATCTGCCCATCAAACGAGCTATACCCTGTTGTTTATTAAATACGAGCTAAACATCCGCGCCAGAAGATAATAAGTAATTCTGTCGAGCAACAACGAGATGCAGTGTCAAGAGGGTAATTTAATCGAAAATCGTATTTCACGAGTCTGCCTTACGTTTTAAACGCTCGCCAAAGCACAACTTTTGCGTAACGATAATTACACTTGTAATGCACAAATTTATATATTATATAAATTTATATAAATTTATATTGAACGAAAAGAAACCGCGATGTTCATTTCGCATGCATTCCGTGGCGAGACATCCCTTCCATTTTATGATTATGTTATAGCACTCTATCGAACGAGTTAGTGCGGTTACGATGTTTAATTAGTGTCAGTTTTCGACCGAATCTCCGAGGATTCCCTGTCATTACTATCACCGGTGTCGACACGATACTAAACCTGGTAATTTTCATACTAATTCGTTGATTAAACGAATTACGTAAAATGTTGCATGTTCAATGAACGAATACATAAAAATCAATATTATTCAAATAATACTTGTTTATTCTTTGATTTTATAGTGATTTTAAATATAAAATTTTAAAAAATTGAAAAATTACGTCTAAAATAACGAAATTTTTCGAAAATCGTAATACATCGAACAGTTATCGCGTTATGCTTAATTCGATATTTCAACGTAAATACGATGAGTGTATAATTAATACGGATTCCCTTCCCAACCCGTTATAATTTCCATTTGAAATGATATAGATCTAATTACAGATTGCTCGAAGAAATCCAAGCCAAGTCGGAAAATGACTTCGGTATTTTACGATGTTGGTTCAGCATTTCTCAGGGTATCCATAAAATTAAATCTATAGATTGTGGCCTGACTTGGTCGTTTCGTGACCCTTGTATAAATTCTATATCGAATCGAATCAAGACATGGAATCATGGACATCTCAATATTGAACGAAAAAAGTTTCTTTTGTTGATCGTAAAGAAACAGATTAATGAAAAAACCGCAATCGTAATAAATGTTATTCCTATATTCGAAATAGCTACCTATATTCTAAATTTTATAGGATATATATCATTACGTTCGATTCATATCGCAAACGAATATATTGATCCACATGAACAATTATGGATTATATGCATATATCGAATTTTTCGTTTTATTCATCGTACGAAACACGAGAAATGTATAAAATACGCCATTTGACGAATGACGAAATTCGGAAGCAATATGGCGTATAACGAACTTCGCAAAACGATATTCTAATCAATTACGAAATTGTTATATAAAACTCTTAACTCACCATAGAAGACAGCCACAAATGAAAAGCATCTTGTAAATCTGGATGTAGAAGCTTCAGGTTCTTGAAACACTAATGAGAACATTAAAATATCACACAAAATTCGACCGAAACGCAATTGCGTCGCACATTTTATGATTTCAACGTTGAACTATATGCTGCGTGCGCATCATCGACCCGGCATGTTGATCGTAGAAATATACGATGCCTCGAGGTATCACTGTGAACACGAACGACCTTCTAACGATTTTACGTCGAAAATTAAACATGCTGTTTGTTTTCGAAGTAATTGCTTGTTTTATTAAAACAGATATTAATAAATGAATAAAAAATATTTAATTATTCGTGAAAGTATACTGTACAAAAACGTGAGAAAGCAGGATGCGCAATTTAGTAAAATTTGGAATATTATGGCGCATGACGAATTTCACGAAATGAATAGTATGGAATTATTATATATAAAGCTCTTAACTCACCACAAAAGACAATTACGGACGACAAACATTTTGTAAATTTACGTGGAACCTTTAGATTTTTGATACACTAAAAAGAACACTAAAAAAGTCCCACGAAATTAGACTACGACATGACTACGACACGCGAATTATACTTCGAAGTATTGGACTGTCGTTATACATCTGCGCACGCATCATCGACCCGGCATATCGATCGTAGAGACGCCTTGAGGCATCAATGTGAACATGAGTGGTCTTCTAACGATTTTACGTTTAAAATATGTCGTGCTGTTTGTTTCAAAGCAATTGTGTAGATAGACAAGTATTAATTATATTATTTATTGTACATTAAATCGATAAAGAAAGCTTAATTAATTGTGAAAGTGTGTATAAAAACACAAAAAAACAGAATAGTTGTATAATTTGATAATGAAAATTCGAAGTATTATGGCGTATAAAGAATTTTACGAAATAATATTCGAAACAATTGTTATACATAAAATTCTCAATTTACCACAAAAGACAACTAACACTAGTTAAATTTACAAAATTTTATATAAAAAAATATAAAAACTTCAGATTCTTAAAATATTAATAAGAATATTAAAATAATCATATAAAATTTAACTGTGACACGCCTTTCGAAATATTAGATTGTCTTTGTGTGCGCATCGACCCGCGTATCGATTTGTAAACACATTCGTCGCGTATTGTTTCAATTACGACACGACGCTTCGAGACACCGTTGTAAATACAAGCGACCTTATAACGATTTTAGAAATCAGTCGTACTGCTTGTGTCGAAGTGATCGCACGCTCTCTTAAAGTAGTTGTTAATTTATTGCGTAGTAAGTGTTTTAAAAAAGTTTATTCAATCGTGAAAGTGTGGTTAATCGTATTAGTTGATTCGAGAAAGTATACGTGTGAAGTGCGCAGAATAACCAAATTATCGATCGATATTTAGTGATATATATCCTTACGATAATTGATTATCAAGTAATTCGTGTACAATACGCATCAGAGACTATGTCAAAGCACGAAATACAGCAGCAATAGTCGGATCGATGGCTCAGTTCGTGAAAATCAGATTGGATAGTATTTCCTCGATAATGAAACGGTATCGTGAGAAACATTTTGGAACTACGCACAATGCAGAGTTCAACTTCGTTCGACAACAACCAGGACAAAGAGAAGGTAAGTGTAATATGACTATTTATCTTATTCTATGTAATATAATATATTCCCTGTCACGAAATATCGCAAGTATATTACAATATATACTTTTAAATATTGTTATTAATTAACATATTTTCTGGTAAAAGTATTTTTCGTTTCGTAACGAAGAAATGGTTTCAAATCGTGTATTGGCATTATTCGAATTATGATAAATTTCTCGTATCTACTACGTTATTTAGTGACATGGAACTAAAGAAATTCTGTTCGATAAATATTGCAACATACACGTTCGCAAATTTGATGGAAACTACGCGATAGCTAGTAAAATCAACACAACAGGTTTAATGGTTATGTGTAGTCGAAAGCATGTTGTTAATCGTAATGCCGACGTTATTAAATCGCGAATTTAATCCGCAAAATAGAATGATGTATCGATATTTTTTTCATTGATTCGCGTTATTTCCGATATATTAAACGTTTACATCTTTCAATTTGAATCGTAAAACTCCATAACGACGCTAAAAAATATTTATTTTTCAAAATCTTTTATAATATCTAAAACAGAATAAATCTCCTTTCGCCATTTTCGAAATTAAATATCGATCTGTTGGTATTCGATGTATAGCTAATTATACGTATTTACGATTCGTTTGAGGTAGAACTTAGAGAAAATTCATCCATGGATAATGTTGTCAATTTGTTTGTTAATCGTATTCCAAATTGCACAAAACAGATAATTATACACAATTCACTCGCTGCTCCCTTTCTCTTTTCTCTCTATCTCTATCTTCCCTTTCGTTCATCTTCTAATCCATCCACTCAGGAATTCCAGTTTCATTTAAGAGGATAGCAGTTTTCATCCATTCATCTCCATCATTCGATTATCACCTCAACTGCTTCTCAAGCAGAGGGTAAATTAAACTTGAAGAATGACGTCGATAAAATATTTTTTTTTTATGATTAAATTTTGCGAATTTTGCGAGTTTAACAACTCGTGCATATTTATCGCTGTTTACGACATCGAACATAACGTTTCGAGGTAATAATCTTAAAAATTTCCTTCGATATATCGAAGGGAAATTTTACAATCTTCATGGCGAAGATTGATCGAAAAAACTCAAAATTGAAACGCGAAATCGTTCCGGATTAGAAAAGTTGATTTCCTTTAGCTGGACCTATCATATATTCAGTACTAGGTAGAAGATAAAATCAAATTCGTCGTAAATAGATTTGAAAATTGATTAGATTAAAAAAATTCAAATAAAATTGTGTTTAATCCTTCAAAATTTAATTTCTTCGAAAAATCATTATTCCGTATATTTTAATTTTTTTTCGTAAGAAATCCATACCCTCCGTATCTATAAAATTTTTTGCATTTGAATTCGGATTTACAAATACACGTCGAAGTTGATCCCAACGCTACTTAGGATCTTCGAGAGTGAGTAGGGATGAAAATCGATTGGAAAATCAGCTTTTAATCGAATCGTTTTATCGCGCACTCTCGGGATACGCGAGAACCCAAAGCAAAATCGAGTAGTACGTAGTTAAATCTGACAGCTATTGATGAACGAGTCGAGCTTGAACTCGACGTTAGATAATCTTTGTAAAGCTAACTATTGCTATAACTGTAACAAGCTAGATCGACGAAAAACCCGATTTCGCTTCGATTTCAATTCACTCGTTCAATTTATTCTCCCTCCCTCCCCCCCTCTCTCTCTCTCTCTCTCTCTCTCTCATCCCATCCGCATTTGGTTTATCTCTCGCTTCTGTATACAACAACAGAAATCACTACTTTCTCTTCTAGAGTCGCAAGAGTACCGTTTTATTAGTATAAAACGTAAAAAGTGAATAAAAATACGAATATTACTTTATATTACGTTACTTTACGCGTTAGACTTCGAAGATTTAATTGATCAATCTATGCAATTTCGGCGGTCAAAACGTGCCTTACATTTTCTATCTATTATTATCTCTATTATTTCAATCGTTTCAAGTTCATCTTGAAGAATATTTTATACTTTATTTTTGCATTCAAATGTGATAGATCAATTTTTTTCAAATAATCTCGTAAAGCGAAAGTATAGATTTCTTAAAAAAAAAAAAAAATGTTTTAAAATCATCAATATCCATGATGAGGGTGTCACGCGTCGATAGGTTCACCAATTTTTGCGAGTAAATAAAAAAAGAAAAAAGAGGGGGAGGATGATAAGATGATAAGCTTTGAATTTTCGCTTTAAATCTCTTTCCTGAAGATCGACGAGATAGGGTTTCAGAGGTTTAAGCTCCAAGGGAATCACGATCGACGCTTCGATAATTTATGATCGAGGTCAGGTTTGATCAGTTAACCAGAAACGCGGAGATCAATCCCGACGAGTCTCGTTGGAACGGATGGGAATATCTGGGAATTTGCCATTTGCGCCGAAAGATTCGACTTTGTGATTGCAAGATTGCGTGTATATTCGTGAGCTAATTCAATTCGATCGATTCGATTTCCACCAGATTTAACGATGAATATCGATTCATCAGATTGTTTTATCTAATCTTTTATATATCCACATTGGTTTTAGAATATAATCGTTGAATAGTCAGGATTAGTAATCGATCGAAGGAACGAGAAACTCGAGAAATTAATTGTTCCTCCTTTGGAATCCCCGTTGGATTCAATCCAGCTTCCTCCTCATCATTTGTACAAAAGCGAAAATTTTTGCTTCTCCAACGGGAAGAGCAGCCAAGGGAGTTTTTTTTTTTTCAACTGAGAAATAAGAGTTTCCCTTCTCCGCGAGGAGCAATGCAGTTTCTCTAGAAGAGCAAATTGCGTTTCTCTATTCATCGAGAAACTCGATATTTCTCGAAGAGTAATTGTTCAAAGAGAAGAAACGAAACTTAAATTTATGCCTCGATATCTCGCGTATAATCGTCCTTGTCTCCTCAACCGAATATATAGACCAAATCTAATTTGTCCACGACGATGCATCCCTCCCTGGTTAAATGGGCAAAGTTTATCACCCAAGCTGCTAAAAAGCGACGACAAAACTCTCTCGACAGACTCGGATCTCCGGTCTATTTGCACGTTTCCACCGTCGTAAACACGCGCTTTTAAAGTAGCTTCGAGATATAACCTTAGTTCCGCGAGAAAAATCTTGGCAACCGATAAAATTTCCAACCGAGAATAGTGAAGAAACCGCGAAAGCAACTCCTTAAATTCTTCTTCTTTCTCGGATTGCTGCACGATATGCCCGCGCGCGCGTGTGTGTATATATCTATATACGTACAAAACATGTTCTCGCGTGCGGTTATTCGTTTCTCGAAATTAAAGTAGAATTCGCGTCTCGACACGGCCGAATATTCGCTTCTTATTATTCGCGGGACGAAATGGCAATGAGCAACGATGTCAGCGCTTTATTGCACGAAAGAAATCTCCTCCCCTTCCCCCTCCCCTCCCCGGGAACTTGCGGATTCCCTCATCTCGAGATAGCTCGGTTGAAACGGTTTGCTACATCGGGATTACGATGTTTCACGCTTGACGGGGCCGACCGTATTCCAACAACTGCAGGGAACAGTGCGGTACGCCGGTCGTTGCGGCGTTTATCCGCCTCGTAGGGGAAGCTTCTTTAATACGCCTTACCTCGGGCCCGAGCTTTTAATAGAGACCGTCTGCTCGAAACTGCCCCTTCCTCGTCGCGTGTGCGAGACAGGGGGCTGCGAGTTTTACCCTCTTTGACTTTTGGTCAAAGTGGTGTGTAACGGTTGAGTGGAAAGGTTTCGATATGGATTCGCGAATGGAATTTTATTCGACGCGTAGGGGGGATGAAATATTGGAATATTTAGGAAGATGGAAATTATTTTTAATCGCGAAGGAAATTTACAATAATTTCTTCTTGTTCGTGTCCATTGTTTGGATTGCATTTATTTAGATATTTCGAATTATTTATTATTCGTTTATCGTTCGTGGATAGATGTAGGGATGATAGAAATTCGAATATATAAATATCGAGGATTAATTACGAGTATTAACTAAGTTCATATAAAATACAAAGATTCTTCTTGAATGGATAGGGCGCGAATACCGAGTCGTACGATTCTACGAGCGATCACAAATTAAAGTGGATTTATCATTAGAAGTTTCAATTAAAAGAAACCGCGGCTGCGTGAACGGAAATAAAATCGAGCCATTGTCGAAGCTCCTAATTTCCGGTTTCTTGATTATGAGAAAAATACCTCGAGATGCCCTTGCCTCTTGTCACCGAGTCTTCTCCGAGAGTTTCGAAATTGTTTTATTCAGTATCGACAAAGCGTTATTCTTCGTTCGCTCGAAATTATCGCGGGATTACCTTCGCCCTCGAAGACGAACGAATAAAAGGAAAATGTTCAATTCGGCCCTCCTTCTTGTTTATTCCTCGATCCGTATTACTTTATATTCCGATTGTTCCTTCGCCTCTATCTCGGGGTGAAAATTTCTTGATTCCTGATTCATGAAACGACCTCGAAGATGGAATTCCATTGAAATTTAACGTATTCAATCTTAACAGCCAACGATCTCCGCGTAACGTAACGGAATTGTGCAACATTGCAAAAAATATTGGAAATTCGTTCTCGAGCAAGGCATCTCGATACTGGGAGAGAGAGAGAGAGAGAGAAAGAAAAAAAGAGAAAAAGAACGAATCTCTCCATGCGCCGCGCATCCTTCGATTTTTCGCGCAAAATGAAAATTCTCTCGGTTCCCTTTTTTATCGGAAATAATTTTTGCATATCGCGTCCACCCGAGTTCCTCGTATCCTTTGTACATATAATCATCAATTTCCCCGCTGGGATTGATGGATAGATCAGGACATCTTTTATGAAAGCTATCGACCCAAAAAATAGCAAGGGAAGAATTTATGGCCCCGGCTCTCCAACGTTTTTTTTTTCTTTTTTTTTCTCTCTCTTTCTCTCCAACGATGGAAATGATTCGCAGTGTTTAAAAAGAAAAAGAGAAAATCCGTCGAGAAATAAATAACTCGCGGCCAATTAATTTCACTCGCTGAAAAGAGTCTCTTTCGTTTCATCGGAACGTTTTTTTTTTTTCTTTTTTTTTTTTTTTTTTTTTTTTTTTTTTTTTTAGCGAATATCAAACGTTCCTTTCCTACGAGCATTGTATTTCTCAATTTTCATCTGTCAGGCGCAAACCGTTCGTTCAATTACCTGGCGCAATTTGATAAGAACAAGTAGTACTAACCTTCCATCCCGGAGGGGTACTCGTTCCTTATCCCCTCCCCCCTTTCTTTCTCTCTCTCTCTCTCTCTCTCTCTCTCTCTCTCTCTCTTTCTCNNCGAAGCTTTATTGCTTAGTTTGACGTAATCCTACTGCTCGCAGACAGATGGATGGATTCTTTATTGCCTTTGCTAAGAGATATAGAAAAGGCGCTTGATAAATCTGATTTTTACGAAGGGATTATTTCGAACGTGTTTGCGCAAAAATATGACTTCGAAAGCAGGATAACAAAATGTTTTATTTGTATCGAATTCGATAGATGAACGGTTCGTTATAATTCGATAATTATTTCTTTTGAACAGAATTTGCTCGGATAAGTTTGGATTTAATTATTACTTTCGTTTGTATGATTCGGTCGGGCAATTATTCTACGTCAAATTTATAACGTTTGTATCGTTACACAGCGTTTTAGAGAATTTATTTCCTTTCCTTTAAACTTGAACATTTATCAATCGTGCGAAAAATTAGATTAGAACTCTTATCGTTATAAATAATCCGATTACGTGGATTATAAGCTTGTCACGCGTATAATTGATATTTCTTACGAATAGAGTTGTAATTATATCCATCCATTTGAATCGTTAGCTTTCCCTTCTTTCGTTTCCAATCGATCACGTTCGATCCGCATCCAATTCGCTCGCAATCTTGTTTGCGCTTAGAGAAATTCCAAGAGATTCGAGTCACGCGGACGAATACACCCGCACGAGTGGTTCCACGGCCCGTGGAATTGGGAGGGGACAAGATTGTAAACATAATTTGCAATTAGTTAATTTCTCGACGATGGGGGCAATTGCTGTTTCCTTTCAGAACCGTTTAACCGGGAATAGTGGAACCGTGCCGTTTGCATTTTAAATATCAGCTCTCGTACACTCGAGTTCATTCGTAAGAAAAAAAAGAGAAAAAGAACCAGAGATCCAAATTCGAAACAGCTGTTTAAATTTTCGAATAAATTTTTTTTCTTTGAAATATTTTTTCTGGGATATGCATTTCCGAATCATCCTCGTAACAACGACACATCTGTTGATTTTTAAATAACGATCGTCGGATGGAATCGAGCGTGAGTTGTTCCACATTCGCGATTATTTATTTTTATTTTATTTTAAATTTAAACGAACGAAAGAAATCTCGTTAAGATTAAATTACGAAAATTAAAAATTTGTAAATTTCAATTAAGAAAATCGGCGAAGGATTGTTAAAGTTTTTTAACGAATTACGAAAATTATTCCTGTCCCTCGATTCGTTCCGCGGTGTATCTTAAATCGAGTCGCAACGAGTGGAACGTTTGTGGAAACGAATTTTGTAAATCGCGACGCATATAGTTGCGAGGCTAAATGGTAAAGTTTTCCGTGTCGCGGCACGTCCACGTACCCCATTAAATATTTCTTTGTCGGATACGGGCGAAACTTGGCCGTGGGAGGGGCGAAATATTTCATCGCTATTCTCTCGTTGCCAGGCACAACTGCAACTCGTAATTAGAATCTCGGTGCCTCGACCCTTATTTCAATATTCGCCCACGTAGGCGTGTTTCCCCAGAAATTCATTTCACCTTATACAAACTGAACGACGATGAGTATACTTATGGTAATAGTACACGTGGAATTAACGTAGTTCCACCTGGCCAAACTGTCCATTCATCAACTTTCTCTTTGCGATTCCACGTATGAACGCATGGTGAATATTATTTTTAAACGATAAAATGATGGAAAATTATCACAGTATCAAAAGTTCTGGTCTGGTTAATTTTTCTTTTTTTTTTTTTT